AGAAGAACATCAGGAGAAGACAGGAACTCCCTCAGTTGGAACTAGTAAACAAATAAATCCAGTGAGTTTCATGTCCCCTAACTCCAAGATTTTATTTATGTAATATAGATAGCCCATATATTTTTTAAAATAAGTATCTCCATGGGATGTTTTCCCAGAAAAGATTTCTTCAGTTTAATGGGAGCAGATCTTTTGGAAGTCTTATTCATTGCAATGGAGGTCTTCAAATAAGATGGATTTAAAAGCGCATCGACATTAGCCCTCCCATTATGTATTATTGAGAAAATGTACTTGGTTTTTTAATTGTTAATAAAATTATTTTTAAAAATCCACCAAGAATTTTTAAGAGGAGGTGTAACGATTTTCTTCACCAGCAGATGGAAGTATAAATCCAGTTTATGAAACTAAATCTGGCTGCATCTTTTTGCTTGAGGTTAGAGACAAAAGTCCACAAGACTAAGTAAAAATGAGATGTTTTTTTCAAAGATGTTTATAAAAACTGGGCAATTAATTCCTGTGAGGGTTTTTTTTTTCTGAAGAAGGCAGAGCCAAATATTTCTCAACACTGGTCAAGAAAACTCCGCAGTGGAGTCACCAAGAGTCCGGCTCAATGGAGATTTTATCTCTGTCTCCACCCTGCCCATCCCAGCTGTTATTTGTGACACTTCCCTAATAAATAGTTCTGAACTTCTCAAATTACCCCTGCAATTTGGTGCATATTTAATTTTGTTCTATTAAATGTATGTCTGTGTTGTTCTTATGGACCAGCCTAGACTCTGTGAAAGAGCTTGTTACAGTAGTTATATGGGAGTTGCTGGAAGTTATGCTTATTGCTGTGGGAATTAATGTTGCAGGATCCAATCTGGGTCGGTTACTGGGACCTGAAGTATAATCCTCCGAGCTTTCTCCAGACCTTTGCCTGACACAGTCCTCGGAGAACTTCTCCCTACCAGAATGTGGTGGGAGATAACATTTTGGTGAGAGAGAAGATCTGCCATCTGAAAGCTCGTAAGATCAAAGTCTCTGGTCCCGGTGACAGACCCAGATCGGATCTTGGAACACGATCCTGGGACACGTAGATTCGCCTTCATTCACGGTTTCATATTATTATGATGGGTTCTCATACATTCAGCCAGATGTTTAGACTGAATCTGGCATTTTTATTCATCTACTGCAGGGGTCTTCAAACTTGGCCCTTTGATGACTTGTGGACTTCAACTCCCAGAATTCCTCAGCCAGGCACGCGTGCCTGGCTGAGGAATTCTGGGAGTTGAAGTCCACAAGTCATCAAAGGGCCAAGTTTGAAGACCCCTGATCTACTGAGACCTTCCCAAGATTTCGGGATAGGTAGATGTTGTTCTTTGATGGTATTAAAATCTCAACGCAGGATTTACGCTGTTCCAAGTCAAGCTGCCTTTTTGCAATTGACCGATGGTGAATTTGTCAATGCCAAAGGTGTTCAAGAGATGCTCCAGACGTTTTTGGGATTGCACTCAAGGCACTTGTTACTATTGGTGCTACCTTTCCTTTCCCTTGCCAGAGTTGTTTTACTTCTTCTTCTTCTTTTTTTTGCAGGTGTTTGTATTTTGTGATTTTTTTTCTCTGCTCTTCTGCTGTCTCCACACCCACGATCCAGACTTTTTTTTTTCTTTTGGTCTTATTTCTTCCTTTCTTTTTTTCTGGGGCTGGTGTCTTTCACCAGCAGATTTTGTTGAGGCTGCAATAAAGGCTATGTCCTGTGATGGATGAAGGAGGCAAGCACCCCCTCCTCTCCAAAAAAGATCCTCTGGTCTTGTAGGAGTCATCCTCAAGGACACCTGTGCAGGTGTGGGTCAAAAAGCCAGGTCTGAGCCGTGGCTGTGTAATCCAAGCCCCAGCTCTTATTTTACAGGCGTCAGGCCCCACGAGGCACTTTGATCCCCTGGCTGCCGTCACCCCTTGAGTGTTTTGAACCACACCTCCCCGGAGACTCTGGATCCCCATATTATTTTCAACTTGAGACCCTGATCAGTCACCTGCATCTGGATTGTTGTTGTGTGCCACACAGCCCAGAGTCCCACGGGGAGGGGGTTGACGAGAGGCCGCTCTATCTAGATTTGATTAGTAAATATGATCACAGTCTTAGGCTAATATGTGGCAGACAAAGGAATGCAAAGCATCGCAGCAAGACAAAAGCCGCCTTCTCTTTCAAACACTCTCGCCTTTGTTCGGGGGGGGGGGATCGCATGACAGGCCCCCTCCCGTTCGCTTTCTGGAGAACTGGCAGTTCCTGGAACGGTCCCTTCCACACCCTCACGTGGGAACGTGAGACCCGAAGCTCTCTGGAAGGTCATCCAGAGCTGAGGCTATTTCAGATGATGGCTCCTTTCCAAGGCGGGCCCAGCTGCCTCTCGCCCTGAAATATTTGGAAGTCCGCTACCGGGGTGGGGGTGGGGTGGGGGACACAGACCACGGTTTATAATTAATGCCATTAAAAATAGCCGTTGAATCAACCACATGCAGCTAACAGGGCAGGGAAACTGTTGTGTAACCAGCAACCCAGAAGGAAACGCCAGAAGAATGTCATGATCTAAAACCGTCCCAAGCAGCCGGAGAAGCCGGACCCCCCAAAAGGCAAGTACTTTCGAGCTTGTTGACAAACTGATATTTGCCGAAGATGGGTGGACGCATGGGGTAGAGTGGTGTCTTTCCCCCAACAGCTGAACGACAACTGCAAGGGCATGCTGTGTTTTTCTGCTTATTAGCTGGCTCGGTTCCTGCCAGTTCCTGATCACCAAAGTGTCCTTGGTCACGGGGGTGATGTCGGTGTATCTGAGTAGGTGGGGAGAGAACCCAGGCAGAGGGTCTGAAAAGTGCCCTCTAAGAACGGAGGAAGATCCAGAGGAGCTGGAGGATACGTGTTTAAATAGTGGGGGGGTCTCCTTATACAGTTCCAGGAGCTAAGCGATAACTTTGCATCTCCATCTAGGGAGAACGTTGAATGCCTTTCCTGGTCTGATGCCTCTGGCCGTCCAGGCAGAAGCCTTCCCATCGTTCATGTTGTAGGATCACAACCTTTTCAGGAACAGGAGAGGGAGTATCACGTTAGGTCCATCCACAGGAGGTCTTTGCACCTGGCCAGAATCCGTTCCTGACCTCTCGTATGACATTGCCCATCTCCGACGGCTGGATCCATTTACTCCGGGCTCAGCAATGATGTAGTTGAGAGCAGCCGTCCACGAGCGTTTTCTCTGGGAAAGAGTGGCGCAGGCTGACCGTTTCCTGGGATTCCCGTTTTGTCTCATTTGCTGGGGAGTGAGGCCGCCCAGGCAGGTCTCTTTTAAGGAGAAAGGTGGCACGAAGGGGTTTTTAATCCCCTCCACCTTGGAACTGCCTGGATTTTATGTACAGCCAGACAGATGTACAGAATGTGAGATCAGTCTACACAAACTGCAAAATAGCAGCTTGCGCTATTCCCCTTTTGCACGGAGTGCCAACCGAAGGGACTTCTGTTACCCTGGGCCTCTGGCAGCTCACGACGGGCCAAGGGTTAAATGGTTCCTTTGCTCAAAATGAGGTTCTCTTGCTTTTTGTTCTCCCAATTCAAGAGGATCAGGCTTGGAGCTGATGAGGGCTCGTCTTCAAGATGCTTTGAAAGACAGGGGAAGCTGTGATGGTGGGGACCTGCCCTCTGTCTTTGCCTTAAGCAGACAGACTTCCAGGGCTGGCCAGCAATGTTAATATCGTATATAAGCTAACAAATTACCAGAACATTTATTCATATTGTGCATTCTCCATATTAAGGACGAGGGTGTTATACCATATATTTTTTTTATCACGTTTAAGAATAAAGAACTGAAGGAATTGGTTGTGTCCAGGACTAGGAATGGTTATCTTAATTGCCTGCATGCAATGAAGAGAAGGCAGGTAAAGAAGCTCTGACTGCAACTGCTTGAATAGGTCTGATTCTAGAAAGAAAGAAAGAAAGAAAGAAAGAAAGAAAGAAAGAAAGAAAGAAAGAAAGAAAGAAAGAAAGAAAGAAAGAAAGAAAGAAAGAAAGAAAGAAAGAAAGAAATGAATGAATTCTGGGAGTTGAAGTCCACAAGTCTTAAAGTTGCCAAGGTTGAGGACCCTTGCCCTAGATCAGGGGTAGGCAACCATGGCTGGCTCAGGAATTCTGGGAGTTGAAGTCCACGCGTCATACAAGAGCCAAGGTTGCCTACCCTTGCCCTAGATTTTCTCTGCATTGGCCTAGACATCCCCAGTTCCTACAACTATTCTTCATATAGGACGAGAACTTCCAGTCTGCCTGTATCTAGTCTGCTGCCTTTAACCATTACGCCAAACTGGCTCTCCGTTTATAAGCAATGTATTAATTAATCATCAGAACAGCTCAGTTCAAGAGCGGTCCTTAGATATATTCTGGACTAAAGCATTAAACAAGGTTATGGATATATGCCAGAAATGGAAGATTGTGTCTATAATCACTTTGGCCATAGTTGCTCGTAAGTGGGGCATATATCTTTCTTTTTCATGGATAAACATTCATAAATGATAGAACAGGCTTAATGTATTTTTTTTTAAGAATCAAAGGCTTATCGCAGGATCTTAGTCACTTCAGCTACCAGCTCTCTTTCAATGTTATACGTAGCCCCCAGCCATAAAGTGACTCAGCCTCCCTCCTCTGTTTTATGATAAGTGAAGCCACTTCAGAGACTTGTAACAAAAAATCAATCTGGATGACCTATTTGACAAACACATCCAACATTTCCACAGGAAACATGATTGCTATCAATCCTCACTGGATATTTGATAGGATGGGTTATGGCAGGATTGAGAGAGAAAAAAATCTCTTTCAGAGATAGGTTTTTTTCCCCCCAGGCTAATAATTCAGTTTATAATTTCTCCAACATTTGTGTTACGGTTGGCCCCAGCGTGTTTCTATAAGCCTTGCATAAAAATGATTTTAAAAAAAGCAGCCTGCCCTTCAAGTCACCCAACGTTTCTTTCTTCGCTCAAAAGACGAAGAAGAAGAAGAAGAAGAAGAAGCCAGGGATATGTTAATGAAGTTGATCAAAGCTAGTTGAAGTACTTGCCTAAAACATCTGTTCCCATTTCCCAGGACTCTCCTTGATCCTGTTTGCAGCCAAGCGCTGCTTCCGTAGAATGTTAAACTGGTATTATTTAGTACGTGTTTAGATTATTCATAGCCTATTTCATGTCATATAAGTAATGAGTAACAAAAACAATTACAATCTGATCAGAAGGAAAGCTGCCCCCATTCTTAACCAACAAGCCCAAATAAGAGAATCTCCAAAGGGTGATGATCAGAGTTAATAATTTTGAGAGTTTTTAACTGAAATTTAGTTTTACAGCAAGTGAGTCAGACAGCAAAGAAAAAAGGTATAATTTATTATTTTTAATGTTGGTTTAATACAATGCATCAACAAAACATTGAAAATAAAGCAATAAATACACAGGGAGCAGGCATTAAAAATGCACAGTTTGGGAATATATTTAATTTCATCCATTTCAAAGGATTACTCAAGATTATTTGTTAATTAATTAATTAATTAATTAATTCACCTAAACAAATCTATTTCCAGCATTTTGCTATAGCAACTCTAACACTAACAATACAAAAAAGTGGAATTAATTTTTGATGCTGCATCATTTTTATCAAAGGCCCAAAGATAATTATGCAATTTTTCTAAATTTCTGAAGAAATTTCAACTGAGGTTTGTAACCTGTATTAATTTAATTAGATGTCTTCAAAACATTATAGAAAAGTTTTGAATAATATAATGGTTCTTTAAAAGGTCTTACTACCATCTAGCATGCAGAAGTTTAGAAAAATAAGTTTTATTACACTGGCACAAAGATTTATGTAAGTTTAAAACTTTAAGAAAAACTCTTTTTTTACTTGCAATTAAGGAGGAAAAAGGTGATTAGAATGTTGATTTTGGAAAGTTTCTAAATGGTCTAAAAGGCCAGACTGAGTGAAAACAAAACTTTGGCGAGTTATAAGAATATTCCCTGTGGTTTCTTTAAAATCTTATTAAAATCTACAAAGATTTGCCTTTAAATATAAAAAAAAAACAATCTCTTCTTGGGAAAACATGATAAGGAAAAACCTAGAAGGCTGGTTACAAAAAACAGCCAGATAGAATTAAAGATTATAATTAAAAGAGAATTCCTGGTAATACACAATGGAGTAAAAAAAAAATTAACTCTGGATGCATTTGAGGATCTTTGGCAACAATGTGCCTAGAATCTAGTCTTTAGAGTAGACTAGCTGATAAATGAAGGCTTAAAAGAAGAGATAGAAAAGAATTTAGATGTGGATTTAATATTGACAGGATACAAGAATCATATTGACAAAGATGTTATATAGGACAGGTGTCCTCAACCTTGGCAACTTTAAGACTTGTGGACTTCATTTCCCAGAATTCCCAGGAGCCTAGAGGACACGGTTGCAACGGGCAGTGACCTGGTGCTGGAGGGTGGGGACGAGATGTGCCACCCACTGCGACAGTCGCATCTAGGATTGTCACTAGATCAGAGGGCAGTGTGGCAAACCATCCACTCAGATGGCTGCAGTAGGACAATGACAGTTTTGAAGCTGAACTTCAAAACAAGGGCGAGGGGTGGACCTGTGAGGGTCTGGAGGAGGTGGACAGCAACCTCCGTGGTTCCTGCACTCATGAAATGGCGAATGGCTCATACTTGCAATCAGAAAGTGTGTTCCTCGTCCCCAAAGCCAATTTCCTATCATGTCTCCTACCTTTTATGTCTTGCCTTTACTCACATGTTCCACACTGATCTCCATGGAGGAGCTCTTCTTTCCAGTCTCTTCCAGAATGTCCTACTCTTCGCTAAATGCAGACGACCTGAGACGCCCCGGGCTACAAAGAACATCCAGTCGCTCCTTGGCCAGCCGGCAGAGCTACCAAACGCCAGAACTGGGGGAGCTGCAGCGCATGTTGTGGTCACCCGTTCCTTGCCGGGCCAATGTCAACGAAGTCTGGCCTAACCTTTATATTGGAGATTTGTAAGTGAAGGGGCTTTCACTGCTGATCTTGAAAAGTATTGCAAGTCTCCTCTTAGAGAAGGGGAGAAAGGGGGAAGATGGACTAGCAGGCTGGCCATCTTAGCCATCTTTCTTGGAATTAAGCCCCATCCTCCTTCACCGGGTTTACTTTTGACTACCCTTTTACTGTGACATATAAATGTTATTGGATATTATTGGCCAACCTTTATGCAGCTAATCTTCGACTTACAACTGTTCAAAGTTACAATGGTGCTGGAAAAAAAAGGCATACTTAGGATCATCCCTGCAGCCACATGATCAAAATTTGGGCACAGGAAACTTATATGTTTGGTCCAGGTTTTTAAAAGCAGCAAGCAAGGTCCATCTCACATCTTCAGGGGTTGCCACAAAGAAGAGGGCATCAAAGTATTCTCCAAAGCACCAGAGGGCAGGACAAGAAACAATGGTTGGAAACTAATGAAGGAGAGAAGCAACCTGGAATTAAGGAGAAACTTCCTCACAGTGAGGACAATTAACCAGTGGAACAAAAGTTGCCTTCAGAAGTTGTGGGTGCTTCATCACTGGACGTTTTTAAGAAGAGACTGGACAGCCACCTGTCTGAAATGGTATAGGGTCTCCTGCTTGGATTAGAAGACCTCCAAGGTCCCTTCCAGCTCTATTCTATTCTATTCTATTCTATTCTATTCTATTCTATTCTATTCTATTCTATTCTATTCTATTCTTTGTCCTGGTTTTAATACCGTGATCCACATGGATACTGAATACAAGTCCAGTTTAGCACCACAGATGATAAAAATTAGGCAGCATGTGGTACATTCCCAGTGGGCAGGGAGAGCGAGGGTTCCCAGAGGGAAGAGAGAAGGGCCATGTCAGAGCATGGAGCTCAACCGGAAGGCCAAGTGAGACGCCCGGGACCACAGAACGGAAGCGAAGAGTTCCTTCTATCAAAGGAAAGAGCAAATATGGGCAATAGAAAGAGAAGCATTGAAGGATGTAGCTGGAAACATGGAGGCTCATCTTGAGGCTATTTCAGGTCAACAGCCGAATTCTTGCCCCAGAGGGGTTCCCTGCCCCACTGGTTGAAGCTGCACAAATAATTTTCTAGAATGGGGGTCTCCAAACCTGGCAACTTTAAGACTGGTGGACTTCAACTCCCACAATCCCTCACCCAGCTGAGGACCTGAACATGGGGATCCTGCGACAAGAACTAGCTTTGACATTTTTCAATGGTCACCAAACGAATGCTTGTTAGTCTAATGCATTTATAGTTTTCATCTATTAGAATAACAGAGATGGAAGGGACCTTGGAGGTCATCTAGTCCAACCCTCTGCACAATAAGAAAATTCCCTAAAACTCTTGACATGCTTTTACTCATTTTTGTTTCTTCTCAGCTCTGTTTGCCCCCACCCTCCTTCCCATAAGTTCAACAGGGTACCAAATTTGGGTTGCAAACCTCCAATCACTAATTAGCAGCAAAAGAGATGCAGAAAATTCTTAACTCTTTCCTGCCCCATCAAGATTGTTGCAGCCCAGACGGATAAAAGGGAAGGATTCCTTCGTCTGCTTTTAGGCAGCTCTTGATTAGTGCTTTTATGAATTGTGTCCACAGTCTTATTATGCTTTTATTGTACTCCATTCAGCTGAAAACCCGATTATGGCATTTAAGCAAATGGATCAATAAATAAAGCAATACAAACATCCGAGACTTTCCGGCTCCAGACTGAGTGGTTGTTTAAAAGCCTGGTGCCTAAAGCACAACCTGTTTAGCTCTTGAAAATGCGACAATGGAATCAGATAAAATCTCTCATCACTGAGCACTATTCCCGAATCCTGCTTTTCTTCTCCCAATGGTGAAAGAGAAAGAAAGAAAGAAAGAAAGAAAGAAAGAAAGAAAGAAAGAAAGAAAGAAAGAAAGAAAGAAAGAGGGAGGGAGGGAGGGAGGGAGGGAGGGAGGGAGGAAGGAAGGTTTTGTTAGATACATTTCTACACAATACTTGGAAGAAGTGCTTTTGTGTTTTAAAAAGAGTCTTTTATTTGCATATAGAATTGTTTTACACCATAGTTTTCTCTTCTAAAACAGACTTGGCAGGTTTTAATTGCACTACTTAGAAACTGGGGCCTCAGCTGGAAGGAACTGCAACCGTAGGATCACATTTTACATCCAACCGTCTTTGTATGTGTGAATGTGTGTTCCTCTAAAAGAGAATATTTGTGGCATCCCTGGTACTCTCTGAGCTTAGTTATTTTATTGCAGACATTTCATTACCCAGGTAGGTAACATCATCAGTGCTAGCTGGGTAGGATGTTACCTAGTTGGGTAATGAAACATCTGTAAAAAATCAACCAAGCTTAAGAGCACCAAGGAGACTAAATATATATGTTTCCCTGCAGCATTAACCGGTGGAGCAAGGATGCCAGAGTCCTTTTGGGGTTAAATTTGAGCCTCTGTATTTAGTTAACTAAGTCAATTGAACCCTTTTAATGTCTGCATGAACACTTAACTCCTCTCCAAGGTGGGGAGAACTGTAGAATAATGAAATTAACCCTTGTTTGCAGGTACATAGCCCGGGATATAGAGCAGCTACGTCGGATGGGCATCTCCCACATTGTGAATGCGGCTGCAGGACGATTCCACATTGATACGGGAGCCAAGTTCTACCGAGACTTGCCAGTTGATTACTACGGTGTGGAAGCCGACGACGATCCCAAGTTTGATCTCAGCATTTACTTCTACCCAACGGCTAAATACATCAGGGCAGCGCTGAACTCGCCCAGAGGTAAACAGAGCGGGCTGCATCTTCTCGGGTGTCCCGGTAATCCTCTCCCGTCCAACATCTCTGTCCCAGAGGTGCTTTTTTCCAGGAGGCAACTGGACTTTCTTGTTTTTCTCTGAAGACGTTTCGCTTCTCATCCAAGAAGGACAGACGAGGACATTACCTGGAGGCATAGCGGCCATCATCGGTCGGTTTCTCTTTCATTGGCCAGAGTAGGACTTCTCAATCTTTAAGAGAAGTTGATGGAAATTACGATACTGATACTCTATTTCCTCCCAAAGAAATCTTCCAGGACAGACAAACTTTTCTTTAGTTTAGATGAGTCACATGTTTTTTTTTTGTTTTTTTGTTTAAACAAACAACACAAGTTTCTGAACTTTTTTTCAGTTGACTGCTCACCCATGACCTGTGTTTTTCTGGGGGGAAAAGTGGAAATTTAAGAGATGAAAAAATGCAGGAGGGGGTGTCAGAAGAGGCTCAACTGGGGGACTAGGTTGTCTCTTAGTAGAAGAACAGAGAAGTGGAACTGGGCATTTTGGTCAAAGTCAAAGGGCTCCTCCTCCTTTGTGTTAGAGCTGTTGGGTTAGTTTGGAAAAACCTTTGTTTGCCAAACTGAGGCATTCACACACCAAAGTTAAGACTTTCTGAGTTGAGTTTTAATATTGTTTGGGGTCTCACCGCCATTGAGTAACTCACAGACTTGCAATGCCAACATTCTGAGTATCAACATTCATCATTTCAGAAGGACATAAAAGTGCACAAATTCCATTTAAAAACCAAAATGCTGGGTTTAACACTTGGAAGCAACCTAATTAGAGAGTATCAAACACAAAATTAACTCTAAGTTGAAAAATCTTCCTACATTTTTTCCAAGCCAGGGTTTGTTCCTTGCTAAGCATCTTCCTTTGTAGCTATATTTAGAGAGAGGACTCAAGTTTCTTCTCCTGCTGCTGTGGATGGTGCAAAAACCCCAGAGGAATTTATTCTCAGTTGATCCAACTAAGCAGGAATGCTCAAGGGGTGGAGGGTTCAGGGGTCTTCGTTCCTCAACTTTGGAAAATAAAATTTGCCTTGCAAGGAAAACGAGATAGGAATGGAAAGCAAGGATCAAGGAGTCCTTCAGGCTTTGCTAGGATGGCCAAGGATGACACTGAACAGACAACTTCGCTTCCTGGGATCACAGATGTCACCCTGGGCAGCTAGAGCAGAGGTCCCCAACCTTTTGGGCACCAGGGACCCGTTCCGTGGAGAGAGGTTTTTCTGTGGACCGGAGGGTGTGTGGGTTTGTGTGCTGCCTGCATGTTATGGATGGGGCTTTGCTTGCTTGTGTGGACCAGTTGCTGGCATGCTGCGGCCCGTACTGGTCCGTGGAATGGGGGTTGGGGACCCCTGAGCTACAGGACCCCCTGCCAAGAAAAGGGATAAGAAAGAGACAGCCCACAAACATTTTAAATACAGAAATTCTAAAACATGTACAACATATGAGGAACGGTTGCTGGAATTGGGTATGTCTAGTTTAACGAAGAGAAGGACGAGGGGGGACATGATAGCAGTCTTCCAATATCTCAGGGGCTGCCCCAAAGAAGAGGGAGTCAAGCTATTTTCCAAGGCGCCTGAAGGCAGGACAAGAAGCAACGGATGGAGACTAACCAAAGAGAGAAGCAATCTAGAACTAAGGAGAAACTTCCTGACAGTTAGAACAATTAACCAGTGGAACAACCTGCCTCCAGAAGTGGTGAATGCTCCAACACTGGAAGTTTTTAAGAAAAGACTGGACAGCTATTTGTCCGAAATGGTGTAGGGTTTCCTGCCTGAGCAGGAGGTTGGACTCGATGAGCTTAGCTGGCTCAGGAATTCTGGGAGTTGAAGTCCACGAATCATAAAAAAGCCAAGGTTGACTACCCCTGTTCCAGAGTTATCCAGTCAGTCTTGTGCCAAAAGTAACAGTGTGATTTTTCCATTACTTCAAGAACTGCAGGGTGCTGCTGTGAAGACATGGTCAGTCAATAGTAGGGAAATGTCCACAGCCTGGGATCTGTGAAGGAGTGACTCCTTGGGAGCCCCATAGAAACTGCCTTGGGAGAAGGGATAACAGGGAAGAGCAGAGAGGAACAACAAAGGGCAGCAAGGAACGGATGGAAACTAACCAAGGGGAAGAGCTACCTAGAACTAAGGAGAAATTTCATGACAGTGAGAACAATTAACCAGTGGAACAACCTGCCTCCAGAAGTTGTGAATGCTCCAAGACTGGAGGTTTTTAAGAAGAGACTGGACAGCCATTTGTCTGAGATGGTATAGGGTTTCCTGCCTGAGCAGGGGGTTGGACTAGAAGACCTCCAAGGTCCCTTCCAACTCTGTTATTCTGTCAGGGAAATTAAATAAATTCAATATACAGAATATCTACACAATACCAGAAGGAAAAAGAGAAGATGCAGTATGGATGTAGAAGTAAGAAGAAATGGAGGCGAATAAGAAACTGCTGAAGCTTCTTCATTCTGTCCTCTGCTACGAATGACAGCTATGTCAGCTGAATGTACACATTAGTAAGTCTTAAGCCTTGAATGGATGACTAACATTAACGGGTGACAGAACTATCCCAATAACTCTCCAGATGTCATCATTATTTATTAGCATAGGACAGCTGACTTTGTCAGAGGTGACCACGTTAAAAAAAAGAAAGAACAAAAAATAGGATTGTGACACAGATTTACAGCATTTCCCACAATTCCAGGAAGACCTTGTGTTGCCTAGATGTGGGGACGTATCTTAACCATATTACTTTCTTATTTGCAGGGAAAGTATTGGTTCACTGTGCCATGGGGATAAGCCGCTCAGCCACCCTGGTGCTGGCTTTCTTGATGATCTACGAAAACAAGAACCTCGTGGAGGCCTTAAAGATTGTGCGAGAACACAGAGGAGTCTGCCCAAACACGGGGTTCCTCAGCCAACTTCGAGAGCTTGACCTCCGGTTAACGAGTGAAAAAGGAAAAGCGACAACAGGGAGGCCTTGAAACTTTAGGGATAAAATACTCGGAGGGCAGCAAGTCCCAGAGGAACAATTGTGTCCCCCAAAAATACCAAAGTTCCAAAGGTGCTGTGATGTCTACCGGCCCTGCCATGAAAACTCTCTCGCTAGCGTCTCGTTCCAGATTAAAGGTGTGTGCTGGAAACTTGGTCTCTGTTCCATGTTTGATAACGGAATCCCAGAGACATATCGGGGGAAGGAGCCCTTTGAGCCCCCGACTCTAACTTCCTGTTCTCTAAAGGACTTCAAACCCTATTGCCTGTCCAGCCTCTGCCTGGCTTGTTCAGGGAAGGATCCCAGGATTCCCTAGGTCAGTGGTGGCGAATCTATGGCACGGGTGCCAGAGCCGGCACTCGAAGCCCTCTTTGTGGGCACGTGTGCCGTCACCCCAGTCCTAGGCCTTCAGCTGGGTTTTATAAAATCTTTTCGCTTTAGGCCTCCGCCACCGTGTGCAAAAAAAAAAAAAGGTTCAATCAATCAGTCAATTTTAACTTCTTGCGGGGGAAAAAAAAGATCTTGCAAAGTTGGAATTGATTGATTGAACTTTTTAGTCCTACCCAGTCTGCCGTTACCACCGCAGCCACGCCCACCCAATGGGCCACACCCACCAGGCACCGATGATGCATAAGTGAGTTTTGGGTTGCAGTTTGGGCACTCGGTCTCTAAAAGGTTCGCCATCACTGCCTCAGGTTGAACCCTAGAAAGAATTTGAACTGAGATACAGAAAGCAAGGTAACACTGGATTGGCTTATTCCAAACCTGGTGACCATTATTATCTAAAGAGTCTGGCAAGCTGGAGTTTTTTTGTTGTTGTTGTTGTTTAGAAACTTCACATATCAAGGAGTTTAGACAAGAATCCCTGGGCAAACCTGCTGGAAGAAATGGATTTGTTTTGTTTGGTCTTCAGATGGGTGGATCAGGACACGGGAATGAGTAAGGATTTCTTAGTCCAATGAGCTGCCAGCAAAACCGTATTTGGAGGTGGTGCCGCCTCCGTTCGCCTTTCTTTCCTCCCACAAAGCGACCAGCAGCACGGAGAACCAGCTGTTCATTATTTTTAGCTTTCTTCCAAGGAGGGAAAGGTGGCGTCCTTTCTCTTCTTTGTTATCTGCAGGCTCTACCTGCAGAGCAGACAGGTGAGGAAGCTGTCTCGGGCAGTTTTTCTCAACTTTGAAGACTTGAAGGTGTGTGGACTTCAACTCCCAGAATTCCCCAGCCAGCGTGTCTTGGGACATGCCGTGACCAATCAGAATTTGGGATGGCCACTAGAGCACCTCTAATGATCACAGAAGAGGAAAAAGAGGCTAGAAAAAAGGAGCTGGATCTTATCCCGGAGCCTCTTTTCCCGAGTTCTGAAGTTCTCCTGGACCTTCCTGGGACACTCAGATCCCCGCTTTCACACAGTCTCCCCACAGTCTTGGTTTTACTGATTAGCAGCCCCAAGAAACACTTGGCAAATTGAAGAAGGGGCACCCCAGAAAAAGAGTGCGCTCTTCTTCCCTCGGCCCAACCGCCCTGTGCGCTTCCCCCAGGCTGTGTCCCGTGGGGCTGGGACGTTGGGCCTTCCACCATGGACCGAAGAGGAGCAAAGCAGGTTTATTGCAAGCTCCGTCCATTCAGTGCTCGGAGACCTCGGGCTCTCCTCTCTTGCTCCAGAACCAGCCTGGCCCGGCCCCGATTTCAGGCCAGTGGCTGTCGGCTCCTTCCTGTTCTCTCTCCCGTTCCCGGCTGAGCCCGTTCTTCTTCGCCTTCTGGGTTCTGCAACTTAAATAAGTGCTAACTTGGCTCTTGGCTTGGCTGATTTATGGCCTCCCTTCTCTTCTGCAGGCAAAACCTCCGGAGCCAGCCGAGCCAAGGGCATAAATAATGCAACACCAGCACTGAAGGCACCCTGGATGGAGCTTCCCTAACCTGCTCGGGTCCAGATGTGCTCGGTTATCCCTAGCAGGGAAGGAGGGGAGGCAGGGATTTTTCATCCTCTTAAGACTGCATGACTCCCACCACGACCCTAAACACACACATACACACAAGCAGAGAGACCGTGAAGGCAACATCTCCTCCTTTGTTTAGTACAGGCTTATGGAGTCGCCTTTTTTTTTTTTTTTTAGTTTTGATCTCTAGGCATCCACAACAAAGGTTACCACTATGCTAGTTAGTTTTAAAGTTTTAATTGTTCAGCCTCTAGCCATGAATTTCTAACCTTGTTGGGCTTACTTGATGATAATGAAAAAAACTGTCCTAATTTTGATGCTGAAAGACCAATCTGCATAACAACAGAGACTATTGTTGGATATTGGGAAGGAAAGGGAGGAAGGAAGGAAGGAAAAGAGAGAGAGAGAGAGAGAGAGAGAGAGAGAGAGAGAGAGAGAGAGAGAGAAGGGAAAGAAAGAAAGAAAGAAAGAAAGAAAGAAAGAAAGAAAGAAAGAAAGAAAGAAAGAAAGAAAGAAAGAAAGTTCTTGAGCTGGACATCAGAGTAAATTAAACTAACTTAGTTTAATTTGTTTAATTTAATTTAAATTAAACTAACTTAGTTTAATTTGGTCAATTTGTTCATTATATATATATTTTTAGCACACAGGTAGTCCTTGACTTACATTCATTTAGTGACTGTTCAAATTTACAGTGGCACTGAAAAAAGCGACTTATGACTGGTCCTCACACTTACGGCCATTGCAACATCCATACAGCCTTATGGCCACTGGCATGTACTTATGACAGTTGCACCTTCCTGGGGTCACATGATCACCTTTCATGACCTTCCCAACTGTCTTCCGACAAGCCAAGTCAAGGGAGGAAGGCAGATTTGCTTAACAACCTCACAATTCACTTAAGAACTGCAGGAATTTGCTTAACAGGTGTGGCAAAAAAAGGTCACAAAATGGAGCGAAACTCGTTTAAAAACTGCCTTGCTTAGCAGTGGAAGCTTTGGGATCAGTTGTGTCATAAGTTGAACACTACCTGTATTCAATAAGAGAAAGATTGTCTACTTCCAGGGAAAACACAAGACACAACAGACACCCGGGGCCAGGTTTCGTAAGATCATCGGGGTGGGGGGCGTTCCCCTATTAGGAGGGAAGCCTGGCTCGGGGGCTGGCACCAAGCGAGAGGAGGCACGGCCAAGGATCACAGCAAAAACAAGCCACAACTTCACTGGAGACGTGCGATATGAAACAACGGTGCAGCTGTCACTTCCGTGTTTCAAACGTTGGAGAGCCCAGCTCCAAGCCAAAATTGCAGGGCACGTGTGATCTTTCCAACTCCATTTCTCTCCCCATGATTAAGCTAGTAATTGGTGCACAGACCTTGATTGTGTTATAATCACAGCCAATCCTGGAGGGCATCACTTAATATTCACACTACAACCAGCAGTGGGCTGCAAAAAAAGCAAAATTTATACTGGAGACTTCAGAGCAGCTCCAGCCTGGTCTGGCAACGGTTCCTAATTAACTTTGTATCCATTAAGAAACCGTGTTTGCAGTCAGAAAAAAAACTAGCCTAGAATAGAACAGGAAGCAAACTCTGCCTACAAACATTTCTCTTAAAAAATTTACACACTCTGGATAAGATCAGTGTGACTTTGCACCCCACTAATGTCCCCCAGGCTGCATAGATTTTTGCAAAAACTCTTCCGAGAGGCTGGGGTGGCTTTTGCAACCGGAGCTGATTTAAATCGTTTTTCCCAAACTGCCCTGCCAGGCCTGGAGGAAGCCAGCTGAGTTAAGTCACTCCGATAATCACCAGGTAATGAGTGCGTCATTTCAAATTGGCTGGCAAATTTACCCAGCGCAGTTTTGCGCGTTGCCTATTGATTGCCATGGCTCAGCCTCCCGGCTGTTAGGAAAGCCGGCTTGTGCCATTACAGGCAGACCAAGAGGATCAAATCTGGATTGTGAAACAACTTCTTGTGGAATGAAATGGCACACCTTGAGGAGGCAGGCTGAATGGGACACTGTGTTATTCGCTAATTCAGTGGTTCTCACCCTCGGCAACTTTAAGATGTGTGGACTTCAGCTCCCAGAATTCCCCAGCCAGCCCTGGTTGGGGGTTTGGCTGGGGAAATTATTGTTTAATTCTATGAATTGGTGTCGGGGAACCTCAGAGTTAGTTTTGCTTCGACATTACCCTGCCGTGTATTCAATAAACAGTAAGATTTTTGGAAATGGAATGAACCTGCAGTTTTATTTGGATTCTCAAGCTGGATATTAACACCAACTTTCCTTCCTAATTTAAGCTGGCCACCATGAACCAGAGGACTGATACTGATCCAAACAGAGAACTGTAGTGTGTATTTTTTTTATTCCAGGTCTAGCACTTTTTCAAAACAGCACTAAACCTGTGCACAGAAGGAGCTCACATGAAGCCAGCACCGACACCCCTGCACAGGCCAACTGTCTCTTCTCTCTTGTGGCTCAGGGCCACAAAAGGGCCACATAGGGTTGAGACCGCAACTTGAAGGTGTGTGAGCACATGCATACCAGCAGCAGTCTGCAATAGTCTAGGGCAGGGGTGTCAAACTGCTGGTCCATGGGCCGGATGTGTCACGCTGAAACTGCACCCACCCCATTGCTGGCAATGGGGAAAAAGTCGTGACATTGCGAGTTTGACACCCCTGGTCTAGGGTCTTCTGCTTGAGTAGGGGGGGTTGGACTAGAAGACCTCCAAAATCCCTTCCAACTCTATTCTGTAACTAAGCTGGACAGATCATATTGTCCCAGAAGCCTTTAGACAACTAAACTATACACAACTTTCAGTGGACCAGAGATGAGGCAACGTACTTTAAAATAGGCATCTTTGCGTCACAGTGAGAAGAAAAGACAGAGGAATCTTTTGATGGACTTCAGAAATGTAGAGTCTGTTTGGCATGCAGGCAGCTCACCAGCAGGTCAGGCTTCCTCCTAACATTCGTTGAGATTCCTGGGTGACTTACGTGGATTAAGCAAGGATTACTGAGATTCTGCCAGGGAAGGGCTTGGAATGCTCCGGAGAGCTGCTGAAGGGCTCACGGATTCTGAAAAGCCTACTTAATCCAAATTACCTGACATTTTTGCGTAGGTGTGTGTTTGTTTCCCGCTAGGAGTCAGTTTTGATTCCTGGTGACTGCCTGGGCAAGATCTGGCAGTTTTCTTGGCAAGGTTTTT